TGCCAAGATTGTCTATGAATTGGGAAAAAATGATTCCTATTTCATTTCATCGGGAGATCATATTTATGCAAGACTAATAATTACCAAAGATGCAGACCCCCTTACAATAAATATGGCAGCAGATTATGGATTTCCGGATCTAATCTATCCGGAAAAGACTTAAAAGATATTGAAAAATCTGATGATATATTAAATCAGAAGTCTCAAAATTTGCCCAGGGAATTTCGATATATATCAAATTTTATTCAATTAGTCATGAGGTTGATGAAAGGATATACTATCATGTAGAACATATTATCATAATCGGATATGTAGGCCGAGATTTCCAAATTGAAGTCGGTCAAAATAATAAACCATTACCAAAAATTACAAGATCATGGATTAAATCCCGAAGAATTTGGGAATGAAGGTCCTCTACAATATGGCAAAAAACTTATATGAAAAGAACTTCAGATGCCTATGTCAATATGAATGATGTACACTTTTAACAAATAATGGAAAAGAAAATCTACAATTTTAAAAGAATACATCCAAAGTTTGACACTCATCAAATAATGAAAGTGCTACAACAATCCAGGAGACATGCTGATTGATGGAATGCCCCACATGTCGACAGAATTAAAAGAGATTCCAAGAAGATGTGATGATAGAGTTGGGAGGTCCTACCACTACCAAAGAATCTCGCCAACTGCATATCAACAGGACAATAATAGAAGGGTAGTGCCCTTGATAAAGAAGATGTGATATAAAGTTAATTGTTTTATACAATAATGGAACCATGATAATGTAGTGGTTAGACTTTTGAAAAAATAAAACTCTATAATTAGAGTATGATGTAAACAATGATGCAAAATGCCTAATAATTAAGCCTCATGTAGTTGTATAAGTAGAAGCCTTTGGGCTAGATTTTTAAGGTAAAATAAGTAGAGGAAGTTTTTGAGCACTCAAATTGGGAGATAGCTAAACTTTTCTGTCTTTCTATTTCAATCAATAGATCAATACAATCCTAATTTTTTCAAAAAGATATGAGTTTTTAAGCCACTTATCTCATATATTCTTGAAAGATTAAGGGAAAGATTTNATATATTCTTTAAAGATTAAGGGAAAGATTTCTTTCTTACTTTAACAAAAGGAGAGTTTTCTTTATTAAGGATCTATAGTTTTAATTTTTAGAAAATAAACAGTGAGAGCAAAAACTGGAATAGCAAGGATTCCGCGAAGGTAAGAGGTTTAGTTGAAGGGAGTGGTTTGCAGATCCAGCCACTCGATTCTAAAAATAAAAGTTTAAGATCAAAACTAAGATAAAACTATTAATTTTGTTAAATTTGAAAATAATTCTCCTTAGATCTTAAAAGAATCGAAATGATTATTTATATTAATATTTGTTATGATGCATGTTTTGTTATCAGTTTGATGATTAAAATGTCGGGATATACTATAGAAGGATTATATAGATTATTAGACAAAATGTTTGAAAAAGTAAAAAATATCATAGATTAAAAAGAAAATATGGATATATTATCTGAAAAATATGAGAAACTTAATGAAGAACATGATAGATATGTTACAAATTACCCTAATTTGTTAGATCATAGAATGAAACTATATATTAAAATTAGAAATATAAGATAAGGCTAATTTTCAAACCTATAATAAAAAGAATGATATATTATGCAAAATCAAAGAATTCATTTCATTAAGAGTAATATAAACTTTTTAGCTTGTTTTATAAAAAGGTCAATTGACCAGGCCAATTAGAAAAATCTCCCAGATTCTAAACGCTTTTAAAGTATCGATTTTGAGCACTTATAAGTATCTCAATTTTAAGTGATTTTAGTAACAATTTTTAAAATTATTTAACATATACTTGGGTGTTGGATTATGTAAATTTTCTAAAAGAATAAAATCAGATTTTAATCTAATTCAAAGTCAACTAAGTAATATTAATCACAACTTTCATAAGTCTCACAACTTTTCAACCACAAATTTCAAAAACTTCTATCATAATCTACTAAAAATTTAATTTTTAATCTCCACCAAACATTCACATAAATAGTTTATAAGTTAATATTTAATTTAAAAAATTAAATATTTACTTAAAATTTTAAGTTAATATTTTTTAAAGTAGATTTTATAGTTAATTTTACACTTTAAAATAATTTTAAGTGAATTTTTAACTTAAAGCTAACTTTTTATATTTTATAAGTAAATTTTTGTCTTATTTGTATTATTTTTATTTTATAAATAAAAGTAATTTTTTAGTTATAAATATTTTTTTATTTATAATGATTTTTTCTTATCTTACAAGTAATATTTTACTTATAAGTATTTTTTTAATTATAATATAATTTTTTTACGTATAATTTTTTTAGTTAATATATTTTTATTTTTATAAGTTAGTTTTGAAAAAATGTTGGTTGAAAATAATTATTTTATAAATGGTAAAATTAAAAAAGAATGTAAGAAACAGTCAAAACTCATTGATTTGTTGATTGAGATAATCGATAAAAATTAAACTACATCGATTTTGGGTGATTTTTAAACTATCCAAAATCGGTGTCCAAAAAACTAGCAAGTGCCGTTTTTTCTAGCCCGTCATAAACGATGCCGTACAAAATCAATCAAAATCAGTTTGATGGAAAAAAAAAAAAAAAAAGATCTCTGAAACCCTTATATATTGACCAGTGTTCTAAAAAGTATGTCTAGGCGGGAAGCGTGATGAAAACGCTTCGTCTTGAGCCTAAACGAGAATTAAGCGGTCAACGACAATGTTGACAGCTTAATGATTGTCTAGGTGACGCCTAGACGCACTTTCACCTTGAGCTTAAGCGGGAATTAAGCGGTCAACGACAATGTTGACCGCTTAATGCTCACTTAGGCATTCCTCGGAAGCGTATGCTAAGGTCGAGGGGGTACGTTTTAGGGCTGAGGATGCGACTTTATGTTAGGCCCCAAGCTCGAGCTCGACCCTATGTTACAAAATGGCCCAATATGGAGGCCCAAGGCGGGCACAATAGGTCACGCTCAGGCTTATCGATATTTTTCCACATCAGTTGGTCTTAGGGTATTTGATCCCAAACTTTTGCAGCAATTGCTCCAGTGTTAATACAATCTGAGCTTAAAATGGTTAATTGATTAATTTTCTCTTAATTGCTTCTTTTTGGTCAGTCATTCGGCTATGACGTCGATGCCGACAATTATCACAGGTAGAAGAAACTCCTTTTTTCATATAATTCTATTCGATTAATTCAAATTCAAATTTTCGACCTTGTCTTCTCAATAGTTTCTTGCACGGATAAGAAACTCCTTTTTTCATATAATTCTATTCGATTAATTCAAATTCAAATATTCGACCTTGGCTTCTCAATAGTTTCTTGCACGGACGATTGCCGTATGATTTGATCAAACCAAACGTTAGATTGTGGAACCTCCTAAAAACCATTAAACAAGGAAAATTGTAAGATGCATGATAAACGAGTTTTTGCATACTTATTTAATACTTAAATATATTTATTATTGATAAAAATAGCGGATATCGACTCACAATTGGGTAATTTTGGCGCTTGTAGGTCATAAACTCAAATGGAAATAGAATAAGACAAAAATAAGAGAAAAGGGGATCAAAAGCGTACAAAAATGAAGTCGGGGATCAAAGTACACAAGTTAGAAAGTTGGAGGACCTCGGGTTGAAATTTTGGAGGGCAAAATTAATAAAAAATCAAATTTTAAGGATTAGATTGTACATGATCAAAGTTGAGGAGCTAGCATGCAATTTTGTTATGGACTAAGTTGGACAAGAGAAGGGAAAAAAGCCTCCGCGCGCACGCGTGCTTAATATGGTGCGTACGCATAAATGATGTTTTAATATATTGAGACCAAAATGGTCTCATGCGCGCGTGGGCTCGACAATTTTGCCTGTTTCGCGTAAATTTCAGGACTTCTTATGCAATTTCACCTTAGACAATTTTTGGCCATTTAAATACAATTTTTTGGTCGACAAGACTTATATCAGAACACTTTAAAGGGAGAAGAGGCAAGAAGGAGGAGAGAATATCTAGCAAAATTTAGGAGTTTGAAAGGGATATTCAAAATTTCAATCCCTCGTATCTTCAAGAATATATTCAAGGATGTTTTTCTTCCATTATCTTAAATTTTTCTATTATCTCCTTCATTTTGTAATGGTTTCTATCTTTATTTCCTTTTTGTGCTTCTATTTTACAATGGGTTAAGTCTTTAATGTAAGGATTTATGGTGTAACTTGACCTAAGTTTCATTAATGTAAATATTCATCAGTTAATGCTTTAATTACTATGGTTATTGTGTATTTACTATTGCACTTAAATTTTCATCATGTATGTGGCCTATAGATGATTGAGTTAGGTGGTTTGTGCAATTATTGAAAGATTGTTGTGCATTCTTGATCAAAATAATTAATGTCTTAGGTTGTTTTAGGAAATGAAGATAAACTCAAAATCCTAGGTGACCCATTGAGTATTTTTCATTACGATTTAACGCGGTTTGTTGAGTTTTTATCAACATAGAGATATAGTGGGTAAAATCAATCAATTATGGCTAAATTCGCTCAAAAGAGGTAATTAACTAAACTTGAAAAATCGGGTCTAACATTTTAACTTGGTAATTTGCATTTCCGATTTATTGCGACATTAAAGAAATGACGATTAAGTGACATCGTAAATCGTAACTCATTTATAACCCAAATTTCCTTCTCTTTCATAATTGTTATTTTAATTGATCTTCAAATTCATTTTCTGTTTCATTTCACATATAAAATCAAATTATTTGTTTTCAATTGTTAAAATTGAGTCAACAATTGTGTAATTAAAAAAAATACTCCCCAAGGAATCGATATTCGGACTTACAAGTCTACTTTATTACTTAAACGTACTCGTGCACTTGCAGTATATAATTTTAGCGAACAATGCACAGACAATCATCAAATTATACATAAACACATACACGATGATTATTTATATAATTTAAGAAAATTAAAAAAAATTGCAGATTTTTACGAATTCTGATAGAATACACTCAATGAAAGCATTGGATTGTCTAGGAATCAATGACTGTTTCGAGCAAATCATGTGTTTCGAGACAATGAATCCAAATCTATCGAAATCAACTACTCCAGAGGTGTTGAGGCCTTCACGGAGGCGATGAAGATTGCAATTGATGTTGCTGGTGTTGATCCACGGAACACGGTATGCTCGTTGCATATGATCATTGCCTTGCCCCTTAATCCCATATTCATAAGGAAGAAAATTGATTGACGATTTTGATTTGATATTTTTATTTTCTTTAATTGATTTTTGGGTTTTTTTTTTCCCAGTTGTTTTTGGATGACAATGTGAAAAATGTTGCTGCTGGGAAGGCTGTCGAGCTCCGGAAAGTTCTGGTGAGTCAAAACTTTATTGTGCCGCTTTATCTTTTGCCACAAGTAAAATTAATATATTTTCAAACAAATTTTTATATGTGATAATGTGCCGCCATGACCATATCGGTCCATAATGGCCGAAGACCCCATTTTTCACGGATGCACCTACAACAATAGTAATTGACGGCTCCATAACGGTCAAAAACTAACGTTTTACGCATGATCAACGTGCAATAACAATCCCTAACGGTCAAAGATCTACATTTTACGCGTGATCGACGTGCAATAATGGTCCAAAACTCACATTTACAAGTGATGTAGGTGCAACAACTGTTCATAACGGTCCAAGATCCACATTTTACATGTTGTAACGTGTTAGGACCCACAATTTTTTCTCATATTCTTGAGATATAAATGCTAGTCACGATATTGAGTTTAAACGGTTTTTCATTAGAGTCATCTTAACAAATTATGGATTAATTTCACTATGTTGTTTTGTTTAATCTATTTTCTTAAGTTGTGCTCAAATTAGTTGCTTGCTTGCATAATACATGGATTATACATAATCAACATAGGCAAGCTTGTTCTTTCTACTTTGGGCATCAAATTGTGTTCGGACATAATCATTTCGTCTACAAGTTCTACTTTTCTCATTTACTTCGTTTTAATTGTATTTTATTAATCGACTCTAATTGATAATTTTCACTATTTCGAAGGTTGGGAAAACAGTCAAGAGCAAGGAAGCAGATTATGCATTGGAATCAATCACTAATTTAGTCCAAGTAATCCCAGAAATATGGTTTAGCGAAGAGGATGATCAAATGATTAGCCACATCAAAAATGAAATGGATTCCATTCCATCAGCCACAACTGTTGGTGCTTAATTATTGCTTAGCCAAGTCAAGTACAATCTACTTTGTGTAGTGCCCTTTCCTCTGATGTAATGTAAAGTTGTGTGCATATCGTCTGTATCTGTAAATTATTGTGTGATCGTCATCAATGTGGATTGTATGTTATTTTCATCGTGTTTGTACATAAATAATAGTGCGTTCCAGTAATGCATTTCTTTAAAGAAAGATTCCATTGTGCCGTATATTTCTCGAGAATAATGTTTTTTTTAATTTCTTTAAAAAAAAAGTTTGTGGGCCTTAACAGCGGCCCAATAAATTGGGCCGATGATAAAGCCCAAACCGCAGCGGTTTGGACGAACACTGTGAACAGCGTTTTGGCCGGAAATGGAGCCGGAAAACTCCATTTTCGGCCACCAAGCTTCATATAATCATTCTATTAGTGCCATTGGTGGCACCACTCTAGATAAAATGCAAATGTCATTAATTTATAGATTATCTTAAAAAATAATGAAATGAGCAGGGACGGATTCAGGACCGGATTACATGACGTGCTAATACGTAAAAAAAAATTTAAAAAAAATTATACATGATTTTTTTTTTTTTACATAATTTTTTTTTCTAACTAAAAAAAAAAAAAATTTTTTTTTTTTGGGGGGGGGGGTCCTGTAAATCCGTCCCAGCTTCAAAGCATACAGCTATCTCCCAGCCTCTTGTCACGGACTTGTTGTTTTCTCCAAGCACCGTGCGGCACTTAGTGTCTCCAACTTCTGCCCCTGCGGTTTTTACACTAAGTCAGCCTCCCACTCTAGCATTGAGGTCTTAGGACGGCACCAAGTAGACCACTTAAGAATTCAAAGGAGGAA